CCTATCCCCTGTGTGCCTAGGTATTTTCTGTGTTAGAGTTTTACTCGCTACAGGGTGTACTTTGAGGGTTTTGACTCTGCAGACCGTTTACATGCATAAAAACCTTCATAACACACAAGGGGACGGGTAATAACCGGAAAAGCATTACATGTGCCCTTTAACATGATCAGTAAATGGTGTCCATAAACTCTCATACACATGCTGTTTAGCCTTTCATATGTTAATGTTTCTTCTGCTATTTTTATGTCTAAATTAGAAACGTGTTCCACTTTTCGAGCTGCCATGCGAATACCCTTTGTTCCCTCCCTGCAGCACATAGTGAAGTGTCACGGCAGCACGCTGCTGCCTCAGTTCCTCGGGATGTACCGTGTGAGCGTGGACAGCGAGGAGACATACCTGATCGTCATGAGGAACATGTTCAGCCACAGACTGCTGGTGCACAGGAAGTACGACCTGAAGGTGAGGAGGAACTACTCAGCACTGCTCAAAGAAATGATGAAGTTTTACATTATAGTCAATAAATACGGTTTTCTCTGAAATGGCCCTGAGATGCACATGTTTAGCTAATTTAGACCTTTTGCCTTTAGCACAGAAGTGGCTTTGTACTGCTCCTCAATTTGCCATTAGCACGATAAACAGAAGAAAAATGGCTTCAGGGAACTTTTCTAAAAGAGTATCAGTATATTAATGCACTCTAAAATGTTACAATCGTTTCTTTCATTTTTAAATTCTATTTATTTCTCAATAAAAGAACATGCATATCCATTTATTTTTGATGATTAGACAAGCAATTAGTTGTATGATAACTATACTGAAAGCAGCTCCACTGATTGCCCTTAAGTATCTGTTTACTTTTTGCAAGTAATGTCGTTTTTTGCCTTTTTTTAATGTTTCTGAATCTCAATATTTTTTAACGTGTTTTTTCAGGGCTCTCTGGTGGCTCGTGAAGCAAGCGACAAAGAAAGGGTAAAATAGCAATCCTAATTCTTCATTTGTATATCCTAGTGGGGCCAGCTGTCTCCTCCTTACGTCCCTAACTCCTGCTAAAGATGTTTTTTATTCCTAAAGGGAAAAGAGCTCCCGACCTTCAAGGACATGGACTTCAGGAACAACATGCAGAAGGTGTATGTGACCGATGAGCAGAAGGAGAAGTTCATGGAGAAACTCAACAGAGATGTGGAGGTAGGTGATTCAATGACACACCTCTCTGTTGTTGCACCGCTCTGCCACACAGAGGCATCATCAGCACGTCAAGGCTGTGATGCCATTTTAGCAGCGTGCGGGATTCATTTAGATCTCAAAACATAAAACTAGGCCATTCAAATTGCTACTTTTTTGATCATTCTTTAAGTATTTATTTTCTTCGACAAAATGCTAAAATGTAACTGGTTGCCGCATCTCAAATGTAAACATCACAGAATATAAACAAGAAAATCAAAGTCTCAGGGCACTGGGAATTTGTCTTTGTTGTGCATCAAAACGACATCAACTGAAAACTTACAAACATCAAGAGCAGCAGGATCTAGCAGAGGAGGGTTGTGCATGTACAAGGCATTTCATTCAATATCCCAGATGTTCCTGTAGTGCATGTACAAGGCATTTCATTCAATATCCCAGATGTTCCTGTAGTGCAAGTTGATATATAAATACAAATGTTCCTGCAAATTGTTGTTTTTGTTTCAGCAACATATAAAAACTAAAGACATTTCAGTTTTGGTAGGTTGGGTTAGGGGGATTTTCCCTCTAGAAACAACCGGTCCAAATGTTTTGAATGAGTCTTCTGTGGATTAATTTAGATCTGGTTAACAGTTCAGTACTATTTTACCGTGCGTCTTTCCCTCACAGTAAATACATTTTCTCTGTAAGCTTCTTAACAAATATCCCTCTTCAGTTCCTGGTGCGGCTGAAGATCATGGACTACAGCCTGCTGCTCGGGATCCACGATGTGGGTCGAGCTGAACGTGATGAAGAGGAGGGCGAGGAGGTGTCCAACGAGGAAGATCCAGACGCAGAGAACGGCCTGGTGGGGGCCGCGGTGGGGTCCTATGGCACCTCTCCAGAGGGCATCGCTGGGTACATGTCCTGCTACAAACCTCTGGGGCCCGGGGAGTTCGACCCCTACGTGGACGTGTACGCCATCGGGAACTGCCCAGGTGAACAAAGGCTCAGGCCACACACTACCATTATTTAAGACTGAGATTACATTGTAGTGTTTTAGGTAGGATGCACTGTTTAGACATTTCCTCTTTCCTAAATCATTATTTGATTTATTTATTATTTCTTCTCAAAGTATCTCCTGAAACTCAATACTAGTCCAATAAAAGTGCTTTATTTTTCCCATATTTTAAATCTGTTTTTAAAAAAACTTTTTTTTCATGTTTATGTAGGTTAACATGCTGTAGAGCAGGGGTGTCAAACTCAAGGCCCGGGGGCCAAATCCGGCCCGCGACTTCATTTAATGTGGCCCGCTAGAGCTTGCAAAGAATATAATACGTTTATTATACGGTTACATGCCACTTTACAGAAGCAGGTTGCCCATAAACTACATGTCCCACAATGCATCTCGTTTTGTGACATGTGCACTGAAGAGACTTGCAATTATTTGCCCTGGACTTCTGCTTTCAGATGTAGTT